AAAAAAAAAAAAAAAAAAACAAAAAAAAAAAAAAAAAAAAAAAAAAAAAAAAAAAAAAAAAAAAAAAAAAAAAAAAATTGTGAATAGTTTTAATGCTTACAATAGTTGCGAAAAAAAAGATTCATTATTCATTATATTGTATTTGTACTTAAAAATTCATTTTATTACATTTAGTAGTAGTTTTTATATAGTAAGTACATTGTAATTTTTTTATTCTATTTATTTTACTCTTAAATATCATTTATATTAATGCACATACACTAAGTTGTACAGTAGCTTTTAGTTGCGGTACGATATATAAAAAATTGGGTACGTATACCCTTCGCTTAGCGCCTAGATAGTTTCAAAGTGCTTTTTAGCAAGTAAAAAAAGAAAAAAAAAAAAATGAAAACGTATTTATTAAAAATAACATCTTTTAAAAAAAAAAAAACACGGATCAAGATTTATAGATAACGTTTTTTTTCAATTCTCAAGACTAAAGCATTTAAGGTAAATTAGTAATCGAATTTGAGGATGAGAACTTCCCCTCTTTTTGTTTTACCCAGCCTACGTATCCTTCTCTTGGCTGACGGTGAAAGATAACTTGTATCAATCAGATAAACTACCTTATTAATTATCGTTACATGTGAACATATACATATACAGTCAACTCTAGAACGAACTATTTAAATTTTTATATACTAGTTCGGTGAGAGAAGAGAGTAACTTTATATAGCAACGAACTTTTTTCTTATATCCAGATCCAATAGTTCGTTTATAGGGCTGATTGTATATATGTACATATGTGAATGTATATATATAGTTAACTATATATAACGAACTCTACACATAAAGAACTAAAAATTTTACATTTATATATACGTCACTCTGGTTATAACAACATTTGAAATAACATCATCAAAGTCTTTCTATAGCAAAATTTTTTTCAAAAAAACTAAAATGTCAATGTAGCTCACTGTAATGACATATGAAATTTTTTTATTAATGTCTCAGTATCGTTATAACCAGAGTTAAAATATACTAGCGCTAGTATGATATAAAAAGAATTGTGATTTCTTATCAGTTCGTTAGAATGTGTTGACTGTATACTGTATATGTTATAAGAGGAATGGAACTAAATTGATTTGGAATGACCTAAACACTCTAATATATATAATTCCAAATCAACTTAAACTCCATTTTACTACGCATAACACCTATACGAAGTGGCATACCTTATATTTTTTGAATATATATATAAATATATATATATATATATAAATATATATAATATATATCTATGCATAATCAGATATTAGATCAACTTAAGGTTAATCCAAGCTTTTTTAAGGTTTTTTAAGTTTGACTAATGAACTATAATTATTACATATATATTATCAACTTAAAAAACTGTATTATCATATATACATATGATGCAATTCAATATATGTATATGTACGTAGCAGCAATTGAAAAAAAAATGCATATATATAATCTACAATATATATATATATATATTTTTTACTAATACATTGATTGTGAAATATTATGGTAATATTAGATAAACGTCTAATTTTCAATTAAACACAATCAAGAGAAAAATTCACTTGCGTTACGTAAAATAACTTCACGTTATTCTATATAAATATAATAACAAGTGAGTATATATATATATAAATGTTCGATGCCAAGCAGATATATATGAATACCTAAACAATTGAACACTAAAGTAATGAAAAGAATGGATATAAAAACTATAAAAAAAACAAGTTCTTTTAATATCAATACACCACAACCTCATAGCTAACTCTCGTCATGAGGAATTAATCAAAATACACATAATTGTCCCTAATTAAAATCCACTTCTTCACAAGCTAATCTTGCTCATGGAGCATAACTACCTAACATGCAAAAAATATATATATAAAAATAATTAGAACAAAGATAAACACCCAACATCGAACCTAGCTTTTTCATTCTGATTTTGAAGCGATTATTAATGTCACATTCCATTCAGAAAAAAAAAAATTCAATTAAAATTTCTAATCTAATTAAATGAAGAAAAATGAAAACAATTAAAAACGATTGTAAGAGTTTCTTTCCGTGCTTCTTGTTTATTTGTCTAAATGATATAATGATATTCATTAGTTTCAATCCAAAGTTGCGCGCATTTGGCTTTGTGTCAATGGAACGAAATTGTGAATATCGATCCCTCTCGCTTTAAGTTCAGCCTCTGCGTGCTGTGGTACGAGTTGAGAAATGAGATCATCTCGAATAGATAGTTCTGCAATAATTGTAAGTAAATTCCAATTTAATATATATGCATATATTTAATGCATAAAAATTTCAATTCAAACCTTGTTCGGTAAAATCGAAAAGCTTTGGTAGCTCCTTTCCGGTGGGAAGTCTCGTTTCTGGATTTCGAAGTTCATCAAAAAATGGATGGCACATTGCCTCAATTGCAGTTAATCGATTGGACGGAGTATATTCTAAAAGGCGAGATATAAGATCAATCGCCTCAGGCGGCGTCCTAGCGCGGAAAACCTGCAAAATGTTCCGCAAAAATATTTTTTCATCATGCAACTCGTCTTGGTTAGAATCTTAAAATGACAAAATGCATAAAAAATAACCTTTGAAAATGGATGAGGTTTGATTTGAGGAAATTTATGCTCCATATAGTTCGGATTCATGGTTTTGATTTGTTCTTTTGTTGGTGTACCTAAAACTTTGATAATTTCTACCAATTGATCAATACCACTCTCCCCAGGGAATAAGGGCTGTCCAAGCATTAATTCGGCCATAACACAGCCCGTTGACCAAACGTCTATGTTTAGTTTAAATAAAATAAAATAAAATAAAAAAAAGATAAATAAATAAATAATAAATAAATAAAAATTTAAAGCAGAATAATAATAATAATAGTCAAAATGATGTTTTACCGATATTAGTTGTGTAATTTGTTGCGCCAAAGATCAACTCCGGTGCCCTATAGTATCTTGAACAAATATATGAAACATTTGGCTCTCCTGCGACAAGGATCTTTGCACTACCGAAGTCACATAATTTTAATACTCCTGTGGTCGGGTTCAGTAATAAATTTTGTGGTTTAATATCACGGTGGCAGATGCCGAGAGAATGGATATAGGCAAGCGACCGGAAAAGTTGATACATGTATAGTTTTATACAAAGCATTGGCATTGTTTGCTTGCTTTTGGCGTATACTCTGGATGCTCGGTAAACAGTTTCAGGAACATATTCGAGTACGAGATTGAGATAAACTTCGTCTCGCTAAATGAAGATAGATGCCATGAAAAAAGAAATGTGTGAATTACTGATAAATTTGTTATAGAAAAAGAATGGTTTGAAAACACACTCACTTTTTCTCCGTTAGAGTAAAAAAAAGCTTTCAGACCTACTATATTAGGATGTGATACCAATCTCATTATTTGAAGCTCTCGGTTCTAAAATATAACATTGAATAAAAATGATTAATAAATATTAGAATTTAACAATTCTTAAAAGCAATTACATGTCTTTGCACTCTTTATTAGTGCAATAAATATAGACTAAAAAAAAACAGTTTACCTTAAACCGTTTATCTTGAAGTACTTTTTTTATTGCAGTCTCGTCACCAGAATTAATTAACTTGGCTTGAAATACTACACCAAAGGAACCATTTCCGATTACTTTGGTGACAGTGTAGGCTAACTCAAACTCTTCTCCGGTTTTTCCATCACTGGCAACCACCTTGATCACTTTAAGTGGATCGTTTTCACCTAAATTAGAAAAAAAGGATGGTGCAGATGTAAAAAGTCAATTGATTATCTACATTTTCAAGGTTCTCCTTTGTGCTACAGGAAGAGTTGAAGGAAAAGGATAATGTGATGCGGTGTTCAACACGACTAGGCCAAAGTGAGAAACCATTAGACCCTCTTTGACAACAGCAATTGATGCTACTGCGCAAAGCACTCGCACCAAAGAATAAAGTTAAATCACTCACCGACTTTAATTCCATTGACGGGTCCGTTCGGCATTGTTGTATTATGTGGGGCTTTTGCTTCTGTTACGTTACTAGTACCGCCGTTGGGACGACGTTTACTTGACATCATTGAACTATACAAGTAGGCTTCGAAGGATGTATATATTTGAATTATATTGGCATTTATAAGATCGATATTTTGGACACATTTTCCATTTCAGATGCCTGCCCCGCCGATGATACGTACTACATTACCTGATTCTTATTAGTTAGACTAATGCTAAAGTCTAAGCACTAGGCATACACCAAATAGGAGCTCTGCACAACCGCCTCATTTTTTCTTTATATTCAATATATATATAATATGTATATTACGCATATACATATCTAATCCAAGCACCTGATCACTCAGATGATCAGCAGTATCGGATTCTGGTAAAGGCACGGAATGCCATATTCGGATTGTTAAATCGGTTAGAATCGGTTACCTATAGCCAACACTGGTTAAATAGTTAATTTGTTACACTAGAAACTTATAACAGAATCCAGAAATCTCACGGATGCTCTGTGAATTTATATGCAGTCAGACCTCTCTACAATCACTCCGCTGGGACCATTGTGACTTTTTTAAAAAAATGTGCTTATAAAGAGATTTGTGTCACAGCACAGTACGTACCGGATACGTAGCAAAAAAGTGACAAAAAAAAAGTTGCTTCTTTACAATTTTGTTAACAGGGCGCGGTTCGAAATTCCCGGGAATGGCCAGCATTATGCAGAATTATGCAGAATTATGCGGATCTCGAAGATCATTCCGGAAGACAAAAAAGAAAAATACGGAAAATAACTATAGCCTAAACCTATCTTGGTGTATTAACAAAAAAGTGTCGGGGATGTAATTTGTAATAAAAATATCCTGAGCCGTTGGGTATTAGCGGAAACGTAAGTTTCCGCTTGTACACACACGGATCAGGGTATTTTTACTAAATGCCTCGTGATCTTGATATAATACTCGGGTATTTTAAATAGCTCTAATTCTAACAAAAACACCCTAAATAATTTTGGCTCATATCCGAGATTTTAAACTGCATCCTGCTTAGAAATTGTACCCGTTGGGAAAAACTCTACCCGGGTATTATTGGTATTATTAAATTACCCAGGTTAATTTATACCCGGTACAATCTAATCCTGCTGTTGTTTTTGTTAAAATAAATTTTTATTATCGTTTACAAAATTATTTTAGTTTAATATATACATTATAAAAATGCAATCAGATCTTTAGTAGGTAACAATATATATATATTGTTACCTACTTACATTAAACTGTTACCTACTTATGAGAGTGACGAACGATTCA